ATCAAAGGAGAGAAGAGGTCCAGGAATAAAATGGTAAGGTGCAAAAGTAGCTTAAACTTTAATTTTGTAAATAATTTAACAATAAATGGTTGGATAAACTGTATAATAATGGCACGCAGTCCTTAATAGTTTACGCTTTTCATTTTATTTTTTGGCAACTGGTTAGTTTAAACCAGCAAACCCTTGCATGTTTAACAAACTAATCCAAACAAACAGATCTTAAACCTTAGGTTTTGTCACACAAAGTAGACTCATCACATCTGCGCTTAGATATAGAGTCACATCTTAGACTTAAAGTAGACATCACATCTTAGATGCTTGCACTAACAAACGACTAAATACCACCCCCTTTTGTAAATATTTTTCTAATACATGCATTTAATATAATATCGCACGGGTTTGGAGGTTTCATATTTCAATAAAATTGGTTACTTCAATTGTAAAACGTTTTCATGTATTGTGTTTAGCAATGTAAAATTCATCAGCGAAGAAGGTAATTAGTTCATAGTATACATTCTTCAATACGGCTTTTAAATAATTAATATAAAAAGTGACAGTTAATGGGGGCAAAGGTTTGTTTTTTGGAATTTTTTATTTAAGTTTTTTTTTTTATGGATATTTGCCATAGTCAACAAACGACTAATTGGTGGTTTCTATGGACAGTAATAAATACAACTCTTTGTTAACAAACGTTTATTTCCAAAGAAAATAAATATTGGTAGTTGTTATATTGGTAAATTAATAATACTGGTAGAAAATTAAGTACAAAAAACGAGCTCAATTGCTGTAATTATCAAGGTTTGAAAATAACTTCATAACACGGTAATAACTTTAGTACTTATAGAATTTCTTTTAACATCATTGTTAATATATTTTTTATCAAAATATGATAACTTTTCAAAAGTGTATAAAATTTACCTATGTAAACCTTATATTTAAACATTTTATACTAGGTTTAATAATTTGAAACTATTTATTTTTAAGTACATTGGTTCCTAATGATTTTAAATTATATGCCTCATGTGCATGTAACGACTGCTTTAAAAACATACTTTTCTTAGTCTTCACCTTAGTAATGTTAAATATATTTTGTCCATACTGAATTTCCACAACATATAACACAAACAATTTAATTTCATTACATAAACATTTTAATGTTTAAGTGAATTATTTTGTTTCAACAATAATTATAATTTTACATTTCCATTTAAGAGTCAAACTGAAATTCGCTTTTACATAGTTCAACTTTCTTATAGAATGTGTACAACGTAGTCTAGATAGTTAGATATGTAACCATGAGTGATTAATTATCCTGCACTAAAAAGTAAAAAATATATAACCACTTGTTCTATAAAACAAAATAATAAATAAATAACAAAAATATAATATCGTATGAATAAAACACATAAATTATGTAAGACACACACAAACACACACGCTAGGGAGGTAAGTAGTGTACAGTGTATCGTGTAGAATGTATAGCTCCCTTGTGCAAGAATGTGTATGTTAGTGTATGTGTATATGTATGTAAATGTTATGTCAGAGCATGTAAACTATACACTGCATGTTGTATGTGAATGGTATACTAGATGCATTTTGGTAAATATAAGATAGCTAACACTCTTTGTAAATTGACGCTTCTCTCGACTTTTGATCACTCTATTTTATGTGATCACAATTTATCGAAATATTAGTGCAGACGAAACGTGTGCTAATAAATAAATGGTTAATCTAAATTATCAGATATAAATATAAATAGATTTGATAAATTAAAAATTGTGATCATATAGCAGTGTTTTACGTGCTAATATGTAAATATTTTCTGTAAATAAGCTGTTTTGTTTGCTGATTACCTTTCCCATAAAGTAAAAAACCTAATCTAATCTAACTCGACAACCGTATGTGAAGGTAAGTAAATAAATAAGTAGAATTTTAATCGGTCGCAACGATAATATTTAAATGATAATACGTTTTCATCTTTAGTGACGTTACACTGTCATTTGGTTGCTACGACTAGATCGTCCTTCTTAAATATAAAGTATAATGATTATACAAAGACATTATGATCCAAAACTGGTGTAATATTCATTTGACATTCGTATAATTTAACCACGAAAATTATTAATAAAAAATGATTTGGTTTTGTGCAAACTAAGTAGATTAGATACTTTCAATTAATGTATAAAATTTAGAAGAAACTTAGCATCTGGCAACAATAATCTTGATGATAATAAAAAAAAATTAAAATGGCCATTTAATATACAGGGTGTTCAAAAAAGGTGCGGACATAATTTACGTAGCGAATCCTTGGGTAAAGAGAAAGAAGAGAAGGTAAAGAGATAAAGAGAAAATTTAACAATAACATTTTTTCCAAAATTGCTTCGTTATCCAGATATTCACCATTTTGTATTTTTTTACATAAACATTTTTATCTTTGAGTTTTTTTAACCGATCTTTATGACACTTGGTATGTATGTTAAGGTAGAAGAGGCCCATTAAAAAAAATCCATCTTTATTCAACTAGAAATTTCAAAATGGTGGCCATTTTAATCTTTTAAACTTAAATTACAATGAAATGGTAGATTTGATGAAAAGATGTTACGTACAATTTTATTTAGCATTTTAAATTCCCTATTAAACAATACCAAGTTCAAAAAGGTCGAATAAGAAATAGGTTAAACATTACGATTTTTAGTTGTAAAATGGGGCAAACCTGACTAGTTCAATTTTATTCTACCCTATAAATATATCTATGCATAAATTATGTCTCCACCCGTTTTGAATATCCTTTATGTATATTATATTTAGTTAATTTGGTGTATAAATAACGAGAAGAGCCTGATGATGCCACCAAAAGCGAAAAAATTGGCAAAAAAAAAATAACCTATAAACCAAGAACCGAGGCAACCATAAAGAATAGAATTTTTAATAGTTTTGAATCTAAATTCTTCTAAGGTGAAATAGGCTATGTTATCGCGCAAAAACAGTTCAAAGCTTTTACTTGTATTAGATAAGCAAGAAATGTGCATAATAGGATATATGCTTTATATAAATGAACAATAACTGCTATAAATTAAATTAAATTTTGTAAGTATTTGGTATACCTATTCTTTTATTGTAGTTTCTAATGAAAAGAAGATTTATAGTAATTTTGGTTAAGAGATTAACTGAACATGAACACCTAAACGTCGTGCTATTTTATTTTGAGTACCATATTAAATTTGATAGCCTTAATAAACCAAGAAAATAACAGGAAACATTATAAAACCGTCAAATAATCTTAAATCACGAATACAATCAAAGAATAAATGGTGATACGAAACAAATCATCCTTCATTTTGTTTATAAAAACACAAATAAACTATATTAAACTAATTATAATATTTCTCACAGCTTACCGAATCTATGTTATCTTCTTGAAACTGAAATCATCTGGTTCAGTGGAAATAAATATGTTTGGCACAAACCTACATACAATCAGATTAGTAATCTGTTTCATTAATTCATTTCAATAATGACAGGTTTATGACCTAAATAAATTTATATTGACAATCAATAGTAATAACCTTCCTAAATATCGACGTAACACGATTAAATTTACCAATGATTTTTCTTAACGTGATATAGCTGTTTTATTAATCATGTTATAAAAGTTGTTGATAACATAAAAATATTGTGACTACCATTTTGGATATTCACTAATAGTTTTACTCTTTCACAGTTTTTGTAGGAAACATTTATTGTTAGTTTAGAGTTTGATACTGACTTATAAAACGCTACATTTTAGCGTTACATTATCCCTTAATTTTATACATTGAAATTTAATTGTAAACAAACTCTCGTTACTAAAATTTACAAAAGGGCCAACATATTCAACAATGCAGCTATTGCGAAACCAACAATAACTCGCTTAACATTCCGCTGAACAATTCATTTATTTAATCAAGCCCAGATTAAATACATTTTCAATGAACTAATCGCTCTTTGTTTGTAAAGCTTGCTCATATTACACACTTCAACCCAGCAGAGCAACTATTTTATTGTGAACACCGATGATTTGCCAGCAAAGCATTGAATTAGTGGGCTTAAAAACCAGATGGAATATGGAAATTACTTTTATACGGTGATAAAAGACAGTATATTACTTAGTTCAATTTGGTATGATAGTGTAAAATAAAATTACAATAAATATCTTTAGTCAAGTAAAGATCTTTATTTGAATGAAAATGCACATTACATATGTTCTTCTGAAATCTTAGAATAGATTAAACACTTACTTGTAGAAATGTTTGTTAATAGCTTGTAATAGCTTGTTGTTACCAGAGACAGCTAAAGACGAATTTCAGGTTTAGTTCAGTTGATTTAATAGGCTTCTTTTGTGTTTCTAAAACAAATTTTGACCACGGTATTTCAATTGATTGTAATATATTTGTATAATGTTGTCCATCCCTTCGTATTATATAGAAAGAGTAAAGTAAAAATCGCAAATCTGTCTGGAAATAAGAGAGACAGATTTAGTAAACGCAAATCAGGGCAGGCATGATCATACAATAGGCTGTCCATCTTCATAGACTTGCACACTTGGAGAAAACCAAACTAAACTTATGCGCTTTACTTACCTACTGTTTTACTTAATTTTTCGTCACAAAATTGTCCTGCCACAAAAGTACCAAAATAGTCTAAGCAGCAATCAATGACAGTGGAACTGAAGACCCGAGAATAACACGAGAAGCTAAACAGCTTTTTAAACCTAAACCCTACCTAAAATCTACCTAAGTATCGTAATTCCCGCGTAAGACATCGGTTAAGACGCTTAAGCAACTAAAGAAACGATATTCAACATTTAAAACACAAAGGAAACATAACAAATAAACATAAACCATCTCTAATTAAACGATTTGGCGTTTCCAGACGGGGATCCGAGGACAAAGAGTAGTCGGCTACAGAGAAAGACTGTGAGTTTGCTAGTCTAGGGTAGCAATGTGTGTGTGTGTTTATAGGTAGACCTGCGACATATGGATGAAAAACAGGGCTCCAACATAGTGGAGGTCGGAGTTGACCTGTCGGAGTTTTACATGTCTGTGGAGTGGGACATACTGGAGGTTCCAGCAGTGAGGTTTGTTATTTATTTTTATTCATTGTGTATATACAAATAATTAAGTAACGTAGAAATACAGTTTAATACAGCTGCGGGACTATAGTTATTTGTGTAACTAGTGTGCGAAGTGGCACTTTGTTGCACATGTGGAAGCAACAAAAGGTTTAAATTACCTCCGTCAAGTGATCCTAGATCCTAGTTGGTTGACTACAGCTGTTTCGTGTTCACTAACACATCTTTAGGTCAAATGTTACATTGATTTATTCCATGGAATGGTCGTCATGAGGTTAAAAGTTCACAAATAAAACTTACACGTACACGAAACATTAAACATTAATTGGCCAAAACACAAATGTAAAAAACGTAAAGTTTACAAAAGACGGACACGTGCGGGGCTGGTAAAAGGTAGGTGACCAACCTTCTGTAGTCAACCAACTACAATCTAGGATCATTTGACTGATACAGGTAATTTAACCCTTTTGTAGTAAAACTCAGTGATCCAGAGGCTGTACCATAAAAATAATAAGGACATGTGGAAGGTTTCTCGAGTGCAGTAAAGGCACTTTACACTCGTGTTACACATTATAGTTTTCCAACTGTTACTATAACACATAGAAATAATTAGTCTTTCAAACACTAAACACTTCTTAGATTAGGTTAAATTCAAACATTAAACGAAATAGGAAACACTCCACCAGCTGATCGTAATCGAAGTTTAAGTGTTACCAACTTATTTTCAAGAGTAGCCTACACGTATTACGTGCCTAATAAAAGCACACTTTTTGTTTTTAGGTACATACTTGAGTGTGCCTTAAGTAAGCAAATGCAGCAATTAGCTAATTTGCGTGCTATAATCAGTGCAAGGAAGCCCACTTTGTCAGGAAACTGTAGCAAAAAGTAGTTTTTCCATCTAGGGTAAAAAGAATCACTTATTGTCAAGGTACATTTTTCTCAATTGTATAAGTTCATCGCTGATTATGTAGAAGTATTGTATGTAGAAGTACAACTCATTAATAAATATACTATCTTATACATTAAGGCTGAATGGTTGTAGTACTCAAAGACAATCAGAAGGTCACTAGTTCGAATCTGAGAAAAGTCAGAAGCTTTTTGATTGTTTGAAACTTGACCCAGCTGTCCTTGTGCATTGGGCTTTTAAAAAGAAACAGCTGGTTTTAGTTAGTGACAAAGCTCAAAGCTAAATGGATAGTTTTACTTTATTGTACACCAAAATTTAACTTATATTTAGCTAGAAACACATTTACAGAGTACGCCATTCTCAAAGTGAATTATTTTAGTTTGTATGTTTATCATCGTGTCCCACAGTATGTTGTAACTAAGACATACCCAAACTAGTTTTAAATGTAAAATCAGTAATTTGAATTTATTTTGGTGTAAGTCGAGTAATGACTGTTGGATACTCGAGTAAACACTCAATCTATATGGACCACTCTGTCGCATTTTTTTTTACTAAAAAGAACATGGTTGAGTAAGCCAGTCACAGATTGCACTAGTGTATATCATTATATCTACCTTATTTGTTGTCACTGAGATATTTTACTTGAGAGATATTTTAACTTGAGATATTTAACTTTTTATTTATTTTAACTTGAGATATTTTACTGAGATATTTTGATTTGATTTAGAAGATGCTTAGTAAGTTGTCTTATCTTATCAGTTTTACTTGGTAAAAAACCGCATATTCGACCGAAATCAGTAATTTAAATCAGCTCAATCTGGCAGAGTCTCACATCAACTAAGTCAATTTAATATAATAAATAGGTTACATACCTTATAAATCCAACAAACAGCTCGATTTAATTGAAGGTCGTCTACATGTTTCGGCTTGTATTGGACATTGTCAAAACGTTGCAGTTGGATGGTAAAATCCTTGTCATTGTTTTATACTAAAAGTACATACACAAACACATACACACGGACGGAACGAAAACATTACGAAACGAATAATGATTTCGTCCCGTCCGTGTGTGTTTGTGTATGTACTTTTAGTAGAAAACAATGAGAAGGATTTTACCATCCAACTGCAAAGTTTTGACAATGGCCGATACAAGCCGAAACATGTAGACGACCTTCAATTAAAATGAGCTGTTTGTCGGATTTATAAGGTATGTAACCTATTTATTATATTGAATACAACAGCTCAGGAGCTAGAATGGAAATGAATTTTAAGTCAAATTGATTTAAAAACTGGTTATATCTTTCACATGGGAAAGGAACGTCTCTCTAGTCAAAGGTAATACACATTGAAACTAGGTGACGATAACAACATTTTGTTCACAATGGAAAAACAAGCTGCATGCTTATAGACTTTTTCCAGCGTTTAAATTAACCAATAAATTGACGCATTCTGGCAGTTGTTGTCTATTTTAAGCTAATATGAACATGCTAGTGAAAATGGAGTGAGATGATTTCATTATCTTTGTTACTGGCTAAAATCAGTGTTTTTGCCCAGTACCATTTGTTTCACGTTTAACGTTATCGGGATAATTGAGTCCAATCGACAAGATTATAAGACGAGCACTTTATCCAAATTTTTTATATTTAATTACACTATATTAACTGCTTTGGTTAAATTCTTCTTTCTCTCCTGCCGTTCATCGTATAGCTCACGAGAAATAGTAAATGTATTCACAATTCTTAGCCACTGGTCATCAACTAACTAAATTATTTGTACAGCCACAATTTTTTCACTAAATTATTTCTAATTTGAGGACGGTCGTTTGTACTAAATTAGGTGAGAAGTTGAATAACGCAATTACCTATTGTGAGAAAAATTATTATTTTGTATCACGTTTGTTAAAAACAACGGTCATTTAGACTTTTTGACTAAATTAACATAAACACTACATAGGTAAACCAACTACTGTTGCAAAGTTCAATTTAGAGACTTTGCTTAAAATTCTAACGAAACAAAATTTAAGAAAATTGGTTCATACATGAGAGAAAAAACTTTTTTTTTAATACTGCGTAGGCCTACATCGATATTTATGCTTATTAGGTAATTACCAATTAAACAGCTGATTGTTTAAGCTAACTGGCAATGATGATACCGCATGACTGCAGATATTTTTTGATACGAGGTATTAAAAGTATATAGTTTTTTCAACATATCATTGAATCGAGCACACTCGTTTCCCGAATTTCTACATGAAGTTCTGTTTTACTCTTAATTAAATGTTACAATTCAACACTTAACACGGATAACACGTTTTTAAATGTTAATAGACATGAAATATATTTACAACATTATATTAATTGGATGGTTGTTAACAAAATTATAATTTATGAATCAAGTTTTGAGTAGCGAGTTTCTGTTTGTCATAGGCCTACTTATTAGTCTACCGGAGAGTTAAAATAATACAGATATTTTGTAGAGAGAAGAAAGATTCATAACAATCTAAAATGAACATTTTGCTTGAACGTTCGTATTGAAAGTATTGAAAGCTCAATAAAAATAGCATTCGATCAAGTATCTATACAATTGATCCGCGTTTTTGATTGAAGGGTGTATTCTAGATGTTCTTCGAATCGTTATAAAACCACTTAGAGCTTGGAAATCCAACATCACAAAAGTCGGGTTCCTGAGCCAAAACAAAGGATTTTTTAGCTTTTCACTTCATTTGTGAATGATTTGTGAGATTTATTTTTTTAAATATTAGTTACAATAACCACTTCTTTAATAACCTATACATTTTTAACTTATAATATCTAATAATTATTATAGTAGCCAAAGTTATTGATGAATTTTCCATTTCTTACATAATTAATAAATTTGATATTGAGTATTGATATAATCTCTTTACTTAATGCGAAGGCTTTTATTACAATAATATCTATGTTAAACATCTTATAATTTTTACTTAACTCGAACTGCTGATATGGTTAAATTACGAGATACAAACAGTTAATTTTATCTAATCAGCAGTTTGCTCAATCTTTTTGAAAAAATGTTAAGGTTAATATGGAGATACTATTGTGATATTACAAAGTATAACAAGATAAAGTAGCTATGCAGTAAAATAGTATATTTCATCACTAGGGCCTATAGTGACTCTTTTTGACACGAGGTCAACTCGGCTTCGCCTCGATTGTAACAACAATCGAGGCGAAGCCGAGTTCGGAAAATGATCGTGGGTTAAAAGGTCACTTTTTGCCCATGTGGTGAACTATAGTTTTCGTCATATTGCATCATTAACTAACAAAAACAAAGCTAGAAAACGAAATAATTTTTATGTTAAGATAACCTCTTAAAACGACTTCCAGCTTGTTTTCTCTGCTAATGCAAATAAGCAGCTGTTTAGTAAGTGATTGAATTATTTCGTCTATTACGATTGTGTTACCATCGATATGTTGAGCAATCGAGAACAATAGGCTAAAACCTTACCTTATAAATCAATTGATAAATAATTTCGATCGATACTATTGCCACAATTGAAATTTACAACTGATTACAACAGCAGATTTTTCTCCCTAGGGACTAAAAATAATTTTTACTCCCTAGAGAGTACAAATACTACTTACCCACAACGCATGCATTAAAACGGATGTTTTTGCCGCAGTATGACGAAAATTTGTTAGTATGTTCAATATTCAATCGCTTTGTGCATAAGACAGGAAACCACATCGGGAATCCTGTTAAAATAATCATTTCACCTACAGTAACGAGAACTGATTGCAAACATTTAAGGCGTGATTTATTAGCTGGGTCTTAAATACTGAAGAATATCGTCCTAATAATATTCAATCCTGTATGAAGACTGAGTGAGTAAAGTTATAATTAGTTTTGAGCACTAATCACAACTGTGTGCAGGAACGAGAGGTTTTACACATGCTGTGATGAACCATACCTCGACATCACCTTCAACATCACCATGCGAAGGAAAACTCTATTCTACACTGTAAACATCATCATCCCTTGCATGGGAATCTCATTTCTCACAGTGCTAACTTTCTATCTGCCCTCCGACAGTGGTGAGAAGGTAAGTTTAAAGATGTTGGTATTTTACAAATGATCTTGGTAGCGATATTTCAATTGTTGAAATTAAATAGTAATTCTTCTTAATTGGACCAACTTAGGAGCTCATGGTCCTTTCTTAAAGTTTATCTCTTCTTTAGAAACTCTTGTTTAGTAGTTTATGACGAAACAGCAAAAAATGGAGGTTAATAAAATTTCTAGATCGTTAGTCCTCGAGATTAATATACCTCATTGTTATTGAGTCGGCGAAGACAGTTGTAGACGATTTGGATGCTTATCAATACGTCTTCAGGACAAACTACAATTCAACTGACATTGTTAAACAGAGTACATTATTTTGAAATCGTAGTTACTTCACAATTCCGTATAAATAATTATGTTGATATTTCACGTAAGATGTTATAAAATCTATGTAAGGTTACGAATAAACAACTTCGTAGTTCTTGGCTTGAATTAGATTCAATTTACTTGGGCTATTCTAAGTAATTGTAGACCTCTTTAGTATTTTAAAAGCCATACCATGTTAAAAACGTAATCCCTGGGAAATTTGCTAAAAGTAGAAAACATTACATGAAATATGTCCTAATGAAATATAATTTAAAATCTGTAACCTCTGGAACCAAAATCGGTTATTCGGGATAAACAAACAATAATATAGAAATTCCTTAGTAATTCCCACTTAGTCTATGTTTCATAAAGTCGCTTACATGCCAAGATATGAAGTATTTGTTTTTCGATAGCAACAGAAGATTTCTGATATTTCTTGCATGGGGTGCAATTCCAACCCCATACGTAGATAGATGTGGGCAGGGCTACGAGTCCAGTGGGGTACATATCTCTTTTCAATTTCTAATATAATCATCCATGTTCACTCTTATCATTCCTACATTCAATAAACTAGATTATGTTACAGGCCAACTGCAGCAATTGTACACATAATCTATGTAACCCCCTGTGTATGACGTAAAAATGACGTCGATGCTCGGCAGGGGGTGTGATTCCATGGGGGTGCAATTCTGGTGACCCGAATAATATCGTTCGACACACGGACAAGTTTCGACCCCTGCTTCTTTTTATTTGTAAAACTTGAGCTCGTATAGAAAAGATTTACTGAAGTCTCTAGTGATGAAATATGCTATTATAATTCTATCTATCCTGTGTATTACGTTTTTTGACCAGTCTATATAAAGATACAAAGATGCTTTTTCCTGTTCAAAGATGCATCTTGTGGTAAATTCATCATTTCGTATTTTTTTCTAATTTTCAATCAGCTGGTTTAGTTTTTGTTTGTTTCAATATAATAATATAATTCAAACAAAAATAGCGATGGAAACGTTTGAAGCTAACAAATTCATGCATATTCTTTCCTTACGCTTAAAATGTTGCGTAGCATTTTTAAATTAAAATATATTTTTTTTCGAGTTATGAGCTCAAAACATCTAGTTGACAGTAAACAAGTTGTGCCTTGCCAAGTTACATTCCAACTGAGTATCAATTGATTGAACCTGACAACTGACACCAGCTAAAGGGGTATTTTTAGAGCCTCAACTCGTTAAGTTTTCTTTTAAAAATACAGTTATTAAATTATTTGAATTTAATTTGTTTTTTCAAATTTTTCAAAAAAATATTCATAAACTTATAAATTTCCTAATTTAAATATTTAAGTTTTTCAACATTTTTGTATATTTAAATTAGGAAATTTATAAGTTTATGAATATTTTTTTAGATAATGTCTATTTAGAGAAGCAACCAATAACGTGGTACAAATATATGTGTATAAATAAATAACTTGGTTCTTGTGCAGCTACACGAATAAATTAAAATACATTTTACAACACTATTCGATGTATTAAAATGTATAATGCAACAATTTACAAGAAGGTAAACCTGTGTAAAAATCGTCATGAGAATTGCAATCAGTCTTCGTGCATTTTTACCGTCTAGCTAAAGATAACAACTATATTATATACTGTATAAATACGTATTGTTTTAGTATACGTCTTTTCGATGTATATGAAATGAAAATTACGGTGTAATACAAATTCTATTTCAAAGTTCACAAACTATCCCCATACTTAAACAAGTGATCTTTAACTTTGTACTAATCAAATATACATCTTAACCTGAAGAACAATATTTTACAGCAAACAATTTGGTATCTCAAAATCTCACATTGATGGTCGTATTTTTTGGTTACTGAAATGTTAGTTTTAAACACCATACGTTTTATCTCGTACCCAAAAACTAAGTATTCGTTGGGTATGATCAAATATATTTTTAAATCATAATGGTTAATAACCTTTTTTGGGTAAAAATTCATTGAATATACTGAAAATTGGCTTGTTACTCAGGTTTGGCACAATAGAGGAATCAGTTAATTGTTCTATCTACATTTTGAATTACATAAGGGTAAAATCATGATAGGCCTACTTATTTATTTAATCTAATGGACATCTACATTTCTTTCATGTAAAAAACGAAAGGGGTCCAAAAACTCAGGATGACTAATTGTAAACATTTACAAGAACAAAAACAGTTGAATAGAAGAAGTACATAAGAACATAAGTACGCGGGCAAATGAAAAGTTAAGTTACTTGGCTTATTAACGGTAACTATAACAATGCATGGTACAACAAATTAACAAATTACTCACCCTATAAAGCTTATGCAGGTCAAAGAGAATGACCAGAACAAATAGTTAATAAACGAAACAATGATGACAAATTTGTTAAGGGTACTCATAAACTAATACAAATCCAATTTGATATGACAAGACAACAACAAAAAACCTAAGAGCTAAATAAAAACTGACAAAATATAGGCAATAACCTTCCATGGTTTAGTGTGTTTATGGAATTTTTGCTATGAAAGACACAAATACTTCATACCTTAACATGTAAGCAAAAGATAATTTGTTTAAAACTTAGACTAAGTGAGGACTTAATAAAGATTTTCCGAATTATTGTTTTATCTTGAATAAACGATTTTGGTTTTAGCAGTTTCAGATAGCTAACCCATATGATATTATAATCTGAATTATATATCTCATGTTAACCGTAATCCAACTATCAATGTATTCTACTTTCTTTAACATTTTGGAGCATTTTAATACCAAAGAGGACTACAATGGCCATTAGAATAGCACAAGTACATTGAATCTAAAAATCACGCCAAGAAGTATTTGTTCTTAATATTTTTCATAGTTTGGAATGCATCTTACGTGAAATATCAATATAATTTAAATGAGTGTAGAGAATGCATTTAATAATTTCATTCTATATTTTTGTATTTTACCAAATTTAAGCGAAGTGGGTTGATGCTTTCCTGTCATCAAATAGTTCCAAATATGATAATTTTAAAGAATATAAATTTGTTCCAAATATGAAAATTCTACAAATCGTTTTGTTCCTAATATAAAGATCCTTCCCACCACAAATTAGTTCCACATATGAAGATTTTATAGACCACCAATTAGTTCCAAATACGAATTTTCTACCAAACAGAATTTTAGTCCCCTAACAGAGAAATTATTTTTACATCCGCCCTTCAAGCTATTCCCAAAACCTCAGTAAAAACTGTGAGACTAAAGTTTCTTAGTGATGAGAAAATACTTGTTTGTTACCAGGATTGTAACTTCTGGCATGCCATGCATTTTTCACAATGGAATTTGTACAAAAAATAGTAAGAAATAAAATATTCATGTTTTACTTTAGTATCAGGACTTTAAATTGATTATTTTCTTTCAGGTTACACTCTCAATTTCAATTCTTATTAGTCTTCACGTGTTCTTCCTGCTAGTAGTGGAGATCATTCCCCCGACATCGCTGGTCGTCCCCCTTTTAGGAAAATACCTCATATTTGCCATGATACTTGTATCTATAAGGTAAGTAAATAGAAACAAAATTATTCATGGGAGTTCAAAACAAATGCGTTAAGTTAACTCAATATACACAGGACAAGAAGGTTAATTGGAAAAGAATAATGGAAAACTAACGAAATGCTAATTTCCGGAAAAGAAAACAATGGAATATAAGATAACGTTGTTGCACTTGTTTAATTTTGGTTCTCGTGGAGGATTTTAAATTCACTGTATTTCCTATTTCAACTATAAGGTGATTTACTATCACATTTAAGTAAATGCTTTAAGACCTCATTAGCCAAAGAGATGCTAATTGCAACAACCTAACAACAACAACAACAACAACAACACACATAAATTGCACGAATCGATTAACAATAGTTATCCGTTAAACAGCCCATTCATTACATGTTAATTCACAATCATATTCCTATGGGTTACGGGTAATATTCTAAATACAAAAATAATAAGTAGATGCTTTGAATTTATATAAAAAAATTAAATTTCAATATATGGAAGGAAAAAAGTAACACGAAATTGAATTGACATAAAAAAACGGTGATAACCAACATCAGAACAATGGTTTAAAAATCCAATAAATGTTTTAGTTTATCACAAACCTAGCTGTATGTTGTTGACACCAGATATTACTTTACAGAAAAGACAGAAAATAAATCACGGAGTTCGGCATTTATAAAAAAAAGTCCCTAAAAGGTCCTTTCTCCTTAAAATAGCACAAGAAATGTAATAACAGAAATATATTTAGGCAGCATCATAGGCTACAACTAGTTGAATAAATAGTGTTATTGTATGAAACATTCAAAAGATGCAATATAAAACTATACTGTAATAGTATTATCACTATTACCATACTATATATACCATACCATATACCATAGTATATTAATAGTATATTACCTTACTAGTCCTGAAAATATGTGTTAACTGGACGAGTGGGATTACCATACGAGTCCGGTAAACACATTTTGGACGAGTGACGTAAGATATTTTATGCTGTACTACTCTAAGCTAACTTGACAATACAAAATCCTTGTATTTACCCACTGACTAAAGGAATAACAATCACTACTTATTACCTCTAAGGGAGGTTATGTTGTTGTTTATAACCACTCATTGGCAAATATAATCAGCTGGTTGGTGTCCGGTAATAGTATATTACGTTACTAGTCCTGAAAATATTACGTGTTTAACGGACGAGTGGGGTCGTTCCCGTGCGAAACGAAGTCGAGTGCAGGATCACCATACGAGTCTGGTAAACACATTTTGGACGAGTGACGTAAGATATTTTATGCTGTACTACTCTAAGCTAACTTAACAATAAAAAAATCCTTATATATACCCACCAATTAAAGGACTAACAATCACTACTTATAACCTCTAAGGGAGGTTATGTTTTTGTTTATAACCACTCATTGCCAAATATAATCCGGTGTCCGGTAAAAACTAATTACAGTACAGTAGTACAGTAGTAAGTAATGAAACCCATTTGATTAAGCTGGCGGCAAACATATGTTTTCTGGACTGAATCCTTGCGTGGGAAGTTCGTTAAAACATTGTAGTGGGGCGTAAAATGCTTTTATTTCCTTATACTTTGACATAAATAGTAATTTAAAATGCATTAAGACATTGGTTCTGAAATGTGACTATTATTATTTGGAATTTTCCAACATTTCTTGAGTTTAAAACTACACAAAGTTTCTGGAGGTGGATCAAGAAAGATTGGAAATTTTAAAATAATAATACTAACATGGTTAGTAATATATCAAATTATGACTTCGACTTCATAACAATTTTATATTAGTAGAATTTTTTACAACAAAACAATATAAAAGTTATGCTTGAATAACATCAATTTGCCACGACAAAAAGTTTCAAAGAAATTGCTAATCCTTATTAATGCTATTTTTGAAATAAACAAGAGAACTTTATTCGTCATTTTGACACTCTCCCGAGAGATTGCATCCCAGTTTTTAAAATCCAATTATGAACGCCAACATTCATGCACAATGTCACACAATTCACTGAAAAAGAAACATTTAAATGTTAAATGCCATAACAATGATTTCTAATGATCGTCATATCAGTTGGGAGCTACCATTTGTAGTTTTCATGTTAATCTCATTTTGTAAATCAAACAGTTACTTATAATAAGTATACAAGCCGGTATAATGATTTTAGAGTATAGGTGTCTCAAGACTTAACGTAAATTTTAAGGGTTAGTAAATGTTTCATATTATTTAACTTTTAGCCTTATGAAACTTTTATGAAGTCCCACCTTCACATCCTAGGACGCAAGTATATAGCCTAGAACCAAACTAGTTTTGCACATTACTCCAGGGTAGGCCTATATCGTGGCGTAAACACAAAGATCATTGGTGATTGGCGGGATTTTAACCCGGGACCTCGCCTAGCTCTCTACCACCAGAACATAATATTTAAGAATACTGTCAGTCTGCAACTTAAACATGGAGTTTGTTTACCCCAAATACGATAGCCAGCGTATTTCCCTATGCAATTAGGAATGATTTCGCTGACTCCTACTCAAAAAGTTTGATGCGGAGGCAATAGGCCTCTCCATTCTCTTTACTAGATGCCAAAGCACAGGTCCAACACCACGCGGGCTTGCGTTAAAAGTAAAACATATCGTTAACTTAATTGCCCACCAAACCAAACTAAAACACCAAACCAAAACATCCGAAGATTATGCCCATGTCTTACTTTCTTGAAAGACTGGAGAACAACGGGTTGGCCATACCCAAGGTACATCCTTACGTAGTAGAAAGTAAAAGCAACTAAGTCGGTCTGAAAGATTACAAATAAATTCTCCATAGTAATTTGTAAGACCTAAATGAGCCCTCAACTCTTCATTGCAAGTTGACCTGCGTGTGTTCCCAAATCGCCTCTAATATATTCCAGCTTACTGACCCCTTAGGAAGACACGTGGTAGCCAAGAACTGTACTAAAGGCTGTATGAATTGGCATTTAGAATGTTTTGCCTTATCTCCATAACCGTCCCAATTGGAGCATTGTGTATGTATTTTTTACCACGGGAAATAATATTGTTCATCAGCTGACTTTAAATCAATAGTAAAAATAGCTATGCTATGACAACCTTATAGAAAAATACTTAACTGTAGAACATTATTCTATGTAAAAAAAATATTATATTGGCCTTCTTTAACCTTTTATCATTACATTAAATTATTTTATTGTTTAAAACCAAGAGGTTTTGTGTGGTTATTTGCATCCTGATGAAAGACAACGTCCACTACTTGGCACGAAAGATCCATTCCGGGACTCGTTAGTCGTTAGACTCGGTCGTAAACCTAATGCTACAGTTTGATATTACCTTGGATTTTGTTACTGTAATAGTAAATGTGACATAAAATATTCTTAAGTTATAATGATACAGTTATCAATGTAAGAAATGTTTTTACACTTTATTATTTAAGTAAGAATAAAACATGCCAACGAACAAAGCTCCTACGGATACCGGAAAAAGTCCTTAAAACTGGCCTTAGCAGATCCGTGTGGACTAGAAAAAGGAAAAAAGGAGCATGTTTAGCTATTATAAAACAAAGAAATAAAATGGAATATTGTGTAACTGTTTTTATTGGGAGAATCACGTTATTTTCTTCTGTGTCCTCTCACCCCCCCAGAAGCCACTACCTCATATTAAATACTGTGTCGAAATATTATTTAACTATGTGTGTGTTTTTTCCAGTATATGTGTAACTGTAGTAGTTCTCAACGTCCACTTCAGATCGCCCCAGACGCACAGAATGGCGCCTTGGGTAAAACGAGTGTTCATACACATTCTTCCACGCCTACTGGTCATGCGCAGACCTCAATACCAGTTCGAGCCTAACAAGTAAGTCAACAGTTGAAACTATTGTAACTCTAGAATCTTGGTCTTTGGAAGATAGTCCCGTCAATGAGTTAAACACGGCTGATGGAGGTTAAGAATGCAATCCATATTCGGGGAAGGTTACAATTCTACCGATTCAGATGAATCGAAGCTTGCCCTGAGAAGGACTGCTGCAACGCATTCGAAATTTCCTCTTATTTCCCAAAGACAGGTTACCATATAAACATACCTTCTAGTTTTGCACGGTACTTGTTATCCGTTGATAAAAATCGTATTTTTTCACCGGCCCCAATACAAGTGAAAACTTGAAATCATTCTGAAGTTGAAACGTCTTATGAATGCACATCAGTAAACTCAGTACAGTAGACTTTCGACAACACTCCCAACAACAATACTTAAATAAACCTATAAGATTATAGGTTTATAGGTTTAGGGACAAATAATTAATTTCTACCAAGCAGCAATGTTCATTTTATTAAAAACAAGACCTGATTCGGTTGATCAATACAGTGTTCAAATATACAATGTTGACCTCAATATCGTTAAAAACTTATCTTCTAGATGTAATACTTACCTGAATAACTAAGGTTTATACGAAAAAAAAACTACCACGGATATTAACTCACTAATGAACAACTATTAAAGGGACGTTACTGTTCTACGCATTATTCTTTAATGATCAACGAATTTGTCTACCTTGGAATGGAAACAGAGACCAGACAAACGTAACACTCGTTTTACAGGGTGAATAATTCTCCTGTACTGTACAGAAATTGGCCGATGGCCTTTCCGTTAAGTTACCAATTAACGTTTAGATACCAAGTGTGTTGGACAATTACGTGTCAGGAGTTGGTAGTGCTAACTGTAAAGCTTTAAAAAAATACCTAAAATAATCATACAGTTTGACCTCCAATACGGGCTAACCTTTCAGAAGGTTACCGACCGGTCCAATATAAAATATTACTTAGATTTGCATACATAGAAACTAAGAATGATTGACATAATATTAATATCATTCCGAGATTATAACATAATTTCTCTTGAAACTCATCCGTGGGCAATAGAAGATATCTAAAAACTTATATTGCATTTACGAAAAAATAAGTCAGAATAAAACGTTAGCAAAGAGTTTAATTTCAACTGCCGATATGTATCTGTTTCACCCATGTCGCAAGTCTGATATTCAAAACTTTGCATCACTCAAATTCTATTTAGAATTTAAGACATTTGGGAACAAAGATTTTCACAATTAAATTGCTCAAATTCAATCAGATTTAACTGGAGTTGACTTTTTCGAACTCATTATGGCCCTTTGAGAACAGATCATCGGACGCCAAAAGCGTTTAGTCTAAATTTGATTTGGTTCCTGTTTAATAGTATGTTTACACCTCCACAATCTGTTGAAGCTTTTTGATCCAATCTGTGACGATAAATGATCAAAGGCCACACAATACGTGCTGTGGACAGTAGTTATCTTCATCTCTAGTTACATAGCAATTGATTTGACTGCCTTGTACTTGTGAACGTTCTATCTGCAGTACATGGCTACTTAGACTACGGGTTACAAACCCTCTAATGATTGTCTAACGTCATCATAATTATACCAAGTGTCAATAAAAACAGAGAGTATCATTCTAAAAATATTAAATACTCCCGTCACAGCAAACCTGCAGTCTAAGAAAATTTACATTTGCCTGATTGGTGTTTAACTAATAGTTTCCAACATGTCAGATTTATTCTATATTTAAATAACATAAGGTTTGACGAGTTTTGACGAGGTTTGCTGCGAAAGAGGTGTGTTTTTTTTCTAGGATTAAGTTTTTTAGTGAAATGTTGATAGCTTAGTATGAAATAAATTTTGTTAAATTTAATCAAACAATGTCCATAAATAGACTACAAAAATTAAGATCAGTAAAGTAAATGTTAATGGCGAAGACTAGACTAAATCGTCTTAATAGAATAATACAACTCAAATATTTTAGATATATTTTTACCGTACGTTAAGTTTACATAAGGCTCAATTAAATTAAGTGTACCAGTAGGCCCAATGTTTTAAGTAATGAGCGTACAATACAAATTCAATAAAAGTTCGTTTTTGGCAGGGGTAATTACTTTATGTCTCTAAGGTATGTCTTTTTGATTTGATTTATGTGAATTTCATATTTAACCTGAAAAGTTGTTTAAGAACACTGCATAAGGAAGGAAAAATACAAAAGATATAAGAAAGATACAGTACAAATAAATTTACACACTAAAATATGACTATTCCTTGAAGTGTATATCATCTTCAATTCATAAATGAATAGAATATTTGTATTTGTGTATACTGTAATAATTTATTTTTAGACAATAGTGGTAATCTTTTGAACGATAGAATATTATAAACTAGTAGTTGATCATTTATACACTTGTATCGCCTTTATTTGAGGTTTTTGTGTCATGGCAATGAAAACCTCGACTAAAATCCTTCTGAGAATAATACGTCAGGATTTAATCTCTCATACAGCTTAACATGCAAAATAGAGTGGATTAATCTCCTTTTACATAACTTAAATGCCATCTTGCTTATAATATTGATTGTTAATGTGCGTTAAAACCTGTAGTAAGGTGTTATACTTTTTTTGTTGTCCTAAGACGCTAGGCATGAGCCCGGGATTATTTATCACATTACTTCAGGCTAGACCTAGGGGTTGCGGCAATACCACTTGGATAAAATCCATTGGTGATTTGGCGGGATTTGAACCTGGGACCTCAGGGACTGAAATCCCGCGCTCTAACCACTAGATCAACTCCCCAAGGTGTTATACTTTAAACACTGTCTAATATTAATTCAATCCAAATCTTTCTGTCATCAACCCTATGATATATACTTTTTACCAATCATTATTCTAAGGCTAACATCACTTTAATAATTTTTAAGTTATTCTGATTGTTTGTATTTGTATAAAATCCAAAATTAAGTGGTTCAAAATGTATTTATCTTGTTACTTAGTTTGTAAGCTTGGTAATATTTATGATAATGTTTGCTTTATTGAAAAAAATGTGAAATATTGTGTTGGATATTTTATTTGTTCAAATTGTTTGATCAATTCATAGCTGAAACCAGTGATTCGCAACGAAGTTAAAACATAAACTAAAACTAATTCTGCCACTGTACATTTTAACGTAAAATTTACAAAGCTTTATTACAACTACAAAGACAGTTTCATGTATAACAGTTTGTTTGAAATCATAGTCAATCGTGGAATAGAAAGGTTAAATTCCTCTATTTCCTTTGATACTTTGTATTTAAAACATGTTTCATCAATTCCAATTTTAACGACTTAATAAAATTCTTCAGAATAGATATATCTGGGATAAGCAATTGAGTCGAAGAAGATGTCGACTGCAAGGAAAGGAACCTTCTTGATCACTGGAAGTCATCAATCGTATCAGCTTACGTCTTTTCAATCACCTGTTGTAGCTTCTTCTACACCTGACAATTATTTAGATTCACAAAAAACAGACCAAATCGAAATACGATATCTTAAAATGTATTATCATATATTTAGTATCAGTTTATTCTGACATCTAATGACGATACATGCTCCCTCATGTATTAACAGCGTTAAAAATATCTTATTATATAATGAATTAGTGTAATTTCCCCATTTTTTCTTAAAATAACTACATTAACTTTTGGGACTAGATGAAACACAATGTTTGAAATAAAAAACGAAAGCCAATTTTGAATTATTTAGAAAGGTCTTTGCTTTTTAAACCACTTTAAATTTTTAAGTCCTTTGACGAATTTTCTAATTGGTGGGTCTAATTTACACTCATATGAAACATTTTTCTCGTAAAAAATGCAATGTTCAGTTATATTTTATAGCCTCGTCTTTCTACAATACTAATTCTTTCACAGGACTTCTAAAATAAGTGAGTAAGTGTCTCTATTAATCCGTATTAAAAGCGCAAAGGCTTTTCACTTTCTCCCTTAATAGCTATTTTACGTTACAAGTGTAGTAAGAACGTTTTTACATCACGCATGTTCACCTAAGTGATGTAAAAACGCGGTTGCGTAACGTGTAACGTACAATATTTTACCTGAACCTGACCCGACAATATACAGGGGGTTACGTACAATATTTTTCATGTCCCCACAATATACAGGACGGGGTGTTAATCTACAATATATAAACTATTTTTTTTTTTGTTTTTATTGATTACAATAAAATACAGGACATTTTTACTTGGGAACACAACATTTAAAACACAATATAAACCTTTCACTCATCTTCTAACAGTAACGTTCATTTACAAACAAAAGCTAGGTTAGGAAATACTTTAAAACATAACAATAACCTTCAAGCGCACAGCTGATTTCTAGCGTTGAACGTCGTTGGCTCCATAGAGGTTTATTTTATTAAGTTGAGCACTCAATGTTATTTGAATGGGTTTCATTACTTCACCGAGTGAGTTTTTGAAACTTTACTTCACCGAGTGAAGTAAAGAAGTTGTTTACATCAGGCTTGGGATAGGGAAGTTTAACATGGTGGGTTGGGTAAAAAAATTAAATGCCATTGATTGCTTTATATGGGTACTAAAACAACTTATTTCCACTTCATGCTAATAAAACAATAATTATCGTGCTCCATGTATGAGCTATTGAGCTAATGTAATTTGTGCGTGAAAATGTAAACTTTTTATAGTAAACTGTTTAAATAAAAACTTAATAAAAGAACAGAACGGTTTATTAGTCCGAAGGTTTGCTGCGGTAGAAGTATTTTCGTTTAACGAAAATCAGGTATTGTCTTAGACATTTCTTAATCAACTAAATATGGATATATTTTGTAAGCTCTGATGTTAGCAATGGTCATGTAATTACGGAAAACACTCTTTTGCATTCAGTCTTTTACAGCAAACTCTACTTTAGCTTTGTACTTTGAACGACCATAAAATCGAAAACCGGATTTAGTATTTAGTGCTTTGTGGAACTTTACAAGATGGGGAACAATGATTGAGAGCTTTACAAGATCCTATTGAACGTTTTATTTGCTCCTTTATTTAAAAGCCTCTTGTTTAAGACCAAGACTTAAACTTTTTAAGACTAGGTTTTTTTATATGGTTGGTGAAAAACATTGAGGCTATGCATGTGTGTGTTTTGCTCTTATTTCCAAACGAAATGAACACAGAAGCTACCATTGATTAACAGACTTCTCTTATCATGTATTCGATCTTAACTTCTATGCATCCCCATTTGTCTCTAATGTCTTATTAGTGAGAGGGCACTGCCGATCAAGGAACAGGAATTTATTTATGAGTGTTGTAAAAACTAATACGATATTGTATATTAAAGCAATGTCTTATGCCTAACGGTTACGAGGAAAATTCAAAAAAAGTCTAATTTACAAATTCTCATGTTATTATTTTGGAGAATGATATACATTAACTGTTTAAGTTGTCTTGTTTATGAGTATATTCTGATCAAATTAGACAAATTGGTTTAATTCATCCTAAGCTTTTAAAAATCACAAAAGAACACCTATTATTACCTCAACCTGTAGCAGTAAACCTAAGAATTCGTTAATCATAAAGTTATTTAAATAGGGAATGAATCTGAGGTTTTTAAGGAATTATTTAAGTCAAAATCCAATCAGCAGTCTTCCAATTTGATCCGGAATGGCTATCATTTAATTTTGTAGTTCACTTTTTTGTTTCTTAGTAGGACAGATTATTTCTATTGTTAAACCTCATACATATTAGGCTACAACTGCTGTAGATTTGACGAATTGTTACGGATTATATTTGCTAATTGTAAACAATCTAACAATAATTGTCTACCCTTCAGTGATTTCGACTATTCCCATTGCTACATTCTGTGGCTGTTATTAGTTAGCGTTTGCTAAATGGTTATAAGTTGCTCGTTGTACGGGTGAAGCAGACCACCCGTACACATACTTTTATGGGAGTACATTTTCACCCGAAAACGCGAAACTAAAAACTAAATTTTCTCGTAAAATGAATGATACTTTCAAAAGCCAAAAACAAAATATATATATAGTATTGTTTAAATTGCATTTCATACGGGAAAATTTAGTTTTTGCTTATTACTCAAATGCTAGACGAAATAGACAGTATGTGTAAATTGGAAAGTTGTCACGCGTTTAAAATTATATGCTATTTGAAATATGTTGCCAACATTAAAATAAAATAAAATTTTGAACAAAAATGATCATTTTGAAAATTATTACCTGTGACACATAAATAAATAAATAAAAATTCCTTTATTTCCGAGCGTCTCTCAGTACAAGAACTGTTTTACAGAGTAACTCAGGTCAATATATCTTAAAAAATATACAACAATTATGATACAAAAAACAATGTGTATGACAAAACAAAATTATAGGCTATATACAATATTTTGCATCTTTTTCAAGTTTCTTTTGAAAGCCAGGACCCCCAGCTGTTTTAGGTCCAAGGGGAGATCATTGTGCATCTTTGGACCAAAGTAAGAAAACCCTTTTCTACCCACTTCTAGGATTACTTTTGGAATGTAGAGCAAGGCGTTTTGCCGGGTCACACGCTGAGTCACCTCCCCACGTGCCACATGCCTTTCCACCAAGTACTTAGACTCTAGCTGAACCAAGACCCCGGTGAATGAGGCGACATCATTGTAAAGCTTTGTTTAACAGGATTTCGAATTTTCAATCAGAACGGAAACATTTTAAGCGGTTTCAAAAATCAATACGCTAAAAACTCACAAAAATGGCCACTATTTTTAAACTAATTGAGATTTACATGTGTACAGATCTAAAGAGCTGTGGTTTGATTTTTATAACATTTAGTATGTGTGTACTAATCCTTAGAATCGCCAGATGTTTTTATATATTTTGTTTTGAAATTTTGACACTCAGACCGCTTGTCCTATGATAAGGGTTGTCGACAAGCTAATGGAAGAAAGTATTAGTCAGACGTCTGATACAGGTTTTTACAAAGGTATTCGTACAATACTAAGTTCAACAGTTAAGTAAACATAGATCTAAACCTGCGGTAATATATCCTGCATCATCCTGTGGTTGTCGACAGGTTCAACTCAGGTCAAGTACTGATGGCCAGTAGGGTTAGGGGTGGTAAGGAGCTGCAGGGAGGATTTTACCCTTACCACACCACAACTGTAGGTACCAGCGACGACGAGACCTCCAGGACAAAACACGCAGAGACTCCAAGGTCGAGAGCAACCTCCAAGGAGGACCTCTCCCCAGGGACGTAAGTAAACAGTGGAACCTCGATAAGAAGACCCTCAATAACAAGAGCTCTTAATTTGTATTGCCCTTAATTATATGTTATTAAAACCCGTTATAAGGAGTCAACCTGACAACAAGTCATGTTTGATCATCCCAAGACTTGTTATCAAAGTTCTATTGCTTTTACCATTTTTAATTGAGGACGTAAGGTCCTCAATTTGTATGTTGAATTTCAACCAAATAACATATAAACGTCGACAGCGTTGTTAAAAGATATTGAGAAAACGTGTGAAGCAAAAAGGCGTTCTCTGGATATTACATGCATCTGATAGTTCCAAAGGCATTTTTATTAGATATATATATATATATTTAATATAAGCATATCGCAAAGCTGAAATCATTGTTTTTACATAGCAAGTGGTATAATTTATTTTTGACGCCTTATTTTTTTGTTGATCAAATTTGCATCTTTCGTCGTAAAAGACGATAGTTTAATGCTAAAGCAACTGAAACCAATATATATCAGTCAAGCATGTCACAGAATACAGATCGAAGAAATCAGTCAACCTGAAGAGGGGTGATGAAGTTGAAAGATAGGGCAGCCCCAAGCGATTTACCCCTTCTTCAAACTGCACCCCCCTCCGCAAATCCAATTCCAGAATGCATCGTTGCACCAGCTTGCAGTAAGACTTCCTTTAAGTAGATTTCCTTTAGGAATAAAACGATAAAGGCCTTTTAGTAGGCTTAAGTAGTAACCATGTATTGTTTACATCTTGCCCTCATATCTCGTTATTTAAAATCTTTGTTCTTTACTTACGCGTTTGGAATTTTTTAGGTTTTTTGTACGGCGATACTCCGAAAATTCCCTTCAAATCGTGCACTGACAGATATATAGTTTACAGTGAAAGACAAATAAATCACAATATTCAACATTAATACAGATATATCAATGGTAAAAGAGTAGTCACAAACTCATTTTTAAAATTTTCCCATAATTTTTATGATTTGTTTGTTTTGTCTAGGTTATTACTCATAGCTATACATCGAGACAACATATTCCAATCACAACTATTGGTAGTTGACCGTACCTTTGTTATAATATTCTAGTTAGTATACTGCAGATGCCAAAGATATACTCTATAAGACATATGTGATTGTGGAACAGCAGCATTTAATCGGAGAAAACTTCGTAAACTTATTAGTTTGACGTTACCAGGCCAGCCATTTTAAATACATATGTATATTGCAACGGGTCTCACACCCACTGCGGCAAACTTAACCAGTTCGTTTATTGAACGAAACAAGATACCTTTGTACGTCCCGTTTCGCTGTAATCACTTCTTGTCACGAGGTTTTGCTACCTCATTAGAGGTGATTGCAAAAATTAATACTCTCAAGGTAGAGTATTTTCAGTTGTCAGAAATATTTTGAAGATATGAGAAAAAATTAAATGTAATGCTTCATTTCGTGGACATGAATAATTAAAAATAGGTCAATCAATTAAGACTAACTGACTGAAATAATTCTAATCATTTTCAGTACATGCAAATTGACGACTATGTCATTATGTCCATTCTCATTAATTAAACTGCACTGCCATTTTACAAAGTCCTTTGACACTGTTTTAAGTCCCCTAGATTATAAAGTCTTTAAAAGTTCTTAGCTAGTGCAATGTGTTTTTGTTTAGTTAGCTTTTAAGACTCACTGCGAAAAAAAAATTGACGCTACTAAACTGCTACGAAAAAAATTCTAAAATACAGATCACTACGCAATGCAGTTATCTCCAATAACTTCTTTGTAGCTAACAAAAGTCTTGTTCTTCAATGTAGCTCTAAGTGTAGAGTATAAATTTTTTTAATGTTTTAACCTGTCTGATGTTTTTAGTCTCATAGACGGAGGTCCTTTTGGCGGAAGTTGTCAGATCCACGGTCCCGCCAGCCACGCCACGGTGGGCTCTCTTCTCAGCGGGGAGAGTGAAGAGGTAAAATTATCTTAAATATTTTAAATTATGTGTGTATGGTTATGAAATTAAAATAACCTTTCAACATGCTGTGGAGAAAACGACTGTTTTCAATTTATGCGTTGCGAGACTAAAATCCCTTTTTCTCTCTCTCGTACAAAAAAGAAACAGCTGGAGCCTAGAACTAACAACTGTTATCCATTTTTGTATATTTTTAAGATTCACTCGCTGAATTTCTCGAAGAAAAAAGGACCGATTTAAAAAATATTGAAAGTACAGTACTACTATTTTAAGTGCCGTAATTGCTTGGATTGTTTTTGGACGATAAGGTAAAATGTTACCATCTTATTGACCACGTTAAAAATGTTACATGAATTTTTGCTATCTTTGCCCTTAAGTTGATGAAATCTGATTTATTTTCCACCTATTTCGGTCGTATATCCCACATCTCGTCTATATCTTGACAATATCGGGTTGTAAGATTGAGTGGACTTATATCTATTCCGTTTGTAGAAGAAATAAATCAGATTGTAATATTTTCTAAAAAAATCTAAAAGCTTGCAAACCTGTTTTTTGAGCGTCAAACGATTCAACGTTACCATCCCTTTAGTACGAAACATAGCGTTCCCTAAAACAACACTGTCGAGTTCAATATTGCCTATAACCATTATTAAATAATTTCTAATAATTTTCCTCTTCCCGTTCGTTAAAACGGGGGTTTTTCACAAAAATCTCCATTACAATGCAGTAAATATTTTCAACAAATCTTCCAATGCATCTTTAAGCAGATTCAGACCACCTGAAACTCAAAAGTGATTTTTAATAATTTCTTTAAAATAAATGCTATTACATAGCAATTATTATGTATCTCTGTTTTTTAGTTTATTACGTACGCATATTGGTTTTGTATTTTTCACGTAACCAATCTATGTGAATATTTAGGACAAATAAATGAGTTATTGAGCTATTATAGTTTCGTTATTAACATTTATTTATGTATGCCATCGTTTTATTTCACGTCAATATACACCCTTTTATCTGCATTTAGACAAATTTAACTATACATTTTTTGTAGTCTAATACAAATTTATTATTGAGAGTGCGGAGTAACAAAAATAGCTTCTTAATAACAGTAACATTTGAAAAGCTGCTAATTAGTAGCAAAACAAGAATAAATCATATTGGTAGGTAATTTCCAAAGGTTAACAATGCACAAAATTTGTATTTTGCTAATTATTTAGCATAAAGAATGTTGCGGTATGAGAAAATATATAGTTCATAGCTTGGACCGAAAGTGCACATTTCGCCTTTGATCATTTTCCTACTTTGGCGTCACCCCTGTCATTAAACTCAAGCTCTTGGTAAAATGAATTACTTAATGCCTTAATGGTGAAGTATACAAATTTCATTCCTGCAATTAAATTAAAATACAATATTAATAGGGCACATTACATACCTGATCGCGCTGGAGTGAACACAGATTTTATTGTAAACTGAAAAAACGTGCCTTTCCCTTGAATGTATAGTTCGAAGATGAGTTTTTAATTCACCCCTAGCTTAAACTAAAGTTTTTTTTTTTAATGTTTCAGGTGACGTTGTCCGCGCTCACGGACGAGTGCAAGAGTCCTGTAATTCTTCGGAACCCCGCGTTTTCTCACACGTCCTGTCCCCCAGCCATGCACAAATCATGCTTCTGCGTCCGCTTCATCGCAGAGCACACGAAGATGCAGGAGGACTCGACCAAGGTAATGCACATAACGCAGTCTTTATATCTGTGATACATTAACATTTCATTGTTGGATTAGGTCCTTCGGAATCGATGGCCTTGTTTACAAGGCTGATTTGTTGATTTGTACGTATTGGTTTGTGGTAGTATCTCTGGCAACCACAATAAAATGCTTACTGAGAAGAAGGCTGCCAAGGTACTTCCTGGCCTTGGCTCCACATAACCACAAAGAGCGTTGGAGCGAAAGTCGGATGTTTTGCTGCCTAGTGGTTAGCGTCTTAGCGAACTTAGTTGCGGGAGGGACGGGTTCAATTTCCAGTACCTTTAATGGGTTTGGATAGCTTTCTCCTAAAAGCTTTTAATCGCACGCTGGCTTTAATTAAAAATGCTACTGGCGTAGAAAAAGTAGGGCACATAAGAAACATTCAGTGGTACACTTGAGTGGTTTCTAGCACTAGGGCTGGTGTCAAGAGCAAAGTCCAACAACACCCTGTCACTCCCATATACTACAACGCTCACGGTGGAGGAAGACCCTGTGTCCTGTGCGGTAAGAATTTTAGCATAGTGCTCGCCACTTGGACTCTTTCGTGCTCAATACAAGTACAGGGTGGGGCAGGGAAGTATCCCTATTTTCGAAGGTACATTAAAAGACAACCGAAAATATTAGAACCAAACTTCAAGGCATCTAGGGTATTCTCGTGAACTACACTAGGCTTAACATCACTCCAATAGAGCATATTCTGCTTATTTACCGCTCCAGAAATATGGAAGTGCGTCTCGTCAATAAACAAACCCCGAGCAACATGAAGCAGTCCCGCAAAAGATTTCACATGCTTGCATTCGTTGTCGCCAGTCCCGTTGTGTGAGTTCATGTGCAACTACAAGCTTGTATGGATGGAGGTGTAGGTCCTCATGGAGAATACGAGGTACAGTAAGATTAGGCAAAGCCAGCGCATGCGGATGCATGCTTACAAGCAGGTGACTGCAAAATCGATCTTCTGACAAGGTAAACGTTTTCAGGAGTTCGGACGGTTCTTTGAGCTCCAAATATCCTTCGCAATACACCAACACATACACTGAAGTCCTTCACCCACACCAAAATGTAACAGCTTTGCGGCAGGCCATCCGATAACAAGTTCGCAGCGCACGCTAGCTGCACAGCAACAATAGACTGATTTTTGAACAAATTCATCTGGAGTGCAAAAGCACATTGCTTACTCGAACAAGCCATGTCTACTACTGAAAATGATATTCTTAGAAAATCCCAAAGCAACAGCGTCATTTGAGCCTAACTCCATTCCTATAGCACACCCCCACTACTCACAGTGCCATCTTAAAAGTAGGGATATTTCCCTGCCCCACCCTATATATTTCCATTGCAACATACCAGAGCTGAAAGAGCGCGGTAGCCCCATAAGCGTGTTTCCGGTGTACCTTAATTGTCTGTGACAGAACTTTGTAGAAAATCTTTGAATCCCTCAAGATTTTAACAGTTCCAGCAATCTTCAGTAATGTACACAAGCTTGCTAAATTTTCCTTCCTAGGATCCTAAATCCTTTTCCACGACCACCATAGACCCTATTAGAGGAGCTAGAGACCTCAGCATTCCCCTCCACCACACCAGATACAGTAAGAAACCATCGTATAATGGCTGCAAAACTTTTAATTCTCTCCCACTGCGCATGAAAAACCTAATTGGGAGAAAAATTAAATAAAAATAAATTACTTTGGAACTAGCTCTAAAATCAACCAGTGTACTCAATGAAGGCATTTTTGACCAAGAAGATAATAGAAAACCAAAGAATCCAAATAATTATTGTATATCTAGAACAAATATCTATTCGATGTATTTTGACGTTAATGAATTTCCTCAAAAAATAACAAATAATGAAACAACTGAGATGAAATAACGAATGAGTTGGCCTATTGTCTATTGGGATTAAGGTTAGGAATTCCTCGGACAATGTTCCAGGGAGGTGTTTAGAAGTGCTCATGTTAATGTTTGTGTACAGGTGAAGGAAGACTGGAAGTACGTAGCCATGGTCCTAGACCGTCTGTTCCTATGGATCTTCACCCTCGCAGTCCTTGTAGGCACGGCAGGTATCATCCTCCAAGCTCCTACACTCTACGATGATCGGATACCTATCGACAAGAAGTTCTCAGAATTCGCAGCGGCAACGGTGGTGCGTTGTCCACCTCCCCAGTAGTCGCATTACCTCTTTCTAAAACCATCTTTTACGGCCTTCTTATATTTTAGCAAATTATCATTATATTTACCTGTTATCATTATTTTAGGTAATTCTGAAATTCTGGAGTTGTTTTACTGATATGTAATCTATAATAAGGGGTTGTGTAACCTTTTGGATTGCTAAATGATTCGTTTGAAGTTAAACTACCACGGTTTCGAAGATCTTGGATTAATTTCCAAGTTTACATAGACACTAAGCGTGTTCAATCCTCTTCAAACGCACAAAAACATTAAAAAAACTTGGAATTCGCATGCATGGAGCCGGCGGACAGTAATATGGCCACACATCTGCCTACTCTACGCACGCGTTGTCCAGAACGTTTTTAATTATGGCCACGCTGTTTTCCCATCTAAAAACCTTTTTTAACGTTCAAAACCACTGTAGTTTATCTACTTTGAACGAATCATTTGGTAATACACGAGGTAGTGTAACCTATTTATCATAGGAGTCAGAAGATATACCACATAATAATAAATGATCCAATAGGAAAGGATTTGAAGGTATACAATTCTAAGATTATTTCCCTCTGGTCGAAAAATCATTTGGATTTTTCTCTCTTAACTTACTATTGTTTATGAACCACAAAAGGAGGAAAATGTACCACAAGCAAAATTTTTAGGTGTACCACGCTGTAACTCCTAAACGTATAGCTTTATAGAAATAATGTTAAGAATAAAAACGATTTTTAGTTGCATTTAAATTCTAAAACAATTATAAAATACAGGGTGTTCCATAAGAAATAACAAAGTTTTTGGCCATATTGCAAAATGGTGGACATATTTGTAAAATTTGAAACCATCCCAAAAATCATATTTTAAAAAAGGGAGTACCCTATAAAAAGTTAACTCACAAGTATCAAAAATACTATTGCAATGTAAAATATCTCAATAAACGAATAGGTAAATTGGAGCAAAGAGTTTAATCATAACAATATTTTACTTTCAAATGGTACCTACCACTGAACGATATCGTTGGAAGACATTTGAATTTAACTGAAGGATTATTTAATAATTTTCCGAGTTTACTTAGAAGATTTTTTGTGTGATATAAATTATTTTGTAGGTCAGTTTCCTCAATAAGTTTAATTTAATGAAATCTGTCTCAACCATGTATTTACGTATAGAGGCTGTGAAAGATGATATCCGTACCCATTAACTATAGATATTGTCAATCGTTAAAATAATACAGTTATAAAGCAAAGGGCTGCAACTTATTTTTAAGATGGTTGTGTAGTACGTGTTGGTAAAATAAAATACACTTTAAACTTTAATAAACATATATTTCATAGTAGTAACCGATGTTTTGTACTTATATTAACGAAATAACTTTATTCTACAGTAAGGTGAACAATAGATTTTTGTTTTGTCTGTGAAAAAATAAACTGTAATGGAAGTGTGTCAATTGAAAAATGTTAAATTGAACGTTTGTGTTTTAAACTAGTAAAATCTCATAAATGATAATGATAAATATATATTAATTAAATCAAATAACCATATTAAGGTGTAACATCTTAAAATGAAATACTAAAAAACGGAATAAAGTAACGGTTAAACGCCTAAACAACGGCTTGGCGTGCCTTCATGTTGTTTTGTCTGGGAACACGATTCTTGTTATTAAAATGTTAAAACGAATGTTGTATTATAAAATATCTAACATAAACAGTTTAAAGTTGTTATTTAATTTTACGATAGTTTTTTGTTGGGTTATTGTTGCTAAATATTACGTATTGAAGAAAGTTGATGTATTTACATGACGAAGTGTATTTACACCAAATACAAAATGTAGTTGAATCATTCATCATTGTTAACTATTTTACCAATAATATCATTGATTACGGTAAAATTGTTTTATACTACACCCATTTTTCTTATTTAAATTTATGGAACTCATCTAGAAATTTTGTTGAATTTTACGTGTGTTTACAACAAAAGTGTTTACTAGGGATACACAAAATTTAAATTTATCTCCAAATTGTAAAATATAATTTATTCGAGTTTTAAACCCGTATAATGCAGTAAAAAACGTAACTTAAGGTTAATGAACTGTTTAAAAGTAATCTTTTACTAATGTAACTTACTGTTTTAGGTTTAAGTGTAACAGTGGTTCCCAGAAAATGGATTGTTTAAACATATTTTATTTACATCGTTGCAAAGTGGTTATGCAACAAAATGACAGGTATATTCAATGAAACCCAACTTAAAGATGAAGTGGGACGGGAATTCATATTGTGTTTTATACACTAAAAATATTTTTACGTAAGATATACTTTCACAAGAACCAACGTCTTTTTAAATTGTATTACCAAGCAATGTATAAATTTCGTCAAATTGACTCATAATTGAATTATTTATATACATTAGTCGTAAAAAATATAATATTTATTGCATGGTAATTACTACCATTATACCATAGTACGAATTTTTTGTTAATAGTTGTGTACAAAGGTTTGAGGAAATGTCAAAATACAAAAGCTAGGTTTGCATTAGGTTTAAAATGAGGATTTTACATGAAACTTATTTATAATACTTTAAATTGGTATTTAAATCAGGTGATGTTAATGCGCTATTGGTGATAGGATGATTTTTGCTATCAAACAAATATTAAAAATTGTAAAAGAAAATATTTCAACTTTGTTTTAAGATAAATATCTGAATCAGCTGTTTAATATGTCCTATTCAAAATCAAATATAAAAAATACGGGCAGGGAATTGCCACAATTAATAAAGCAATTGAAACTTGCAAACCCCACTTTTATTTTAAGGTTAAATTCATGGACAAAATCCATGTGACTTAATATAATAAATTTCTTTGGATAATTGAATACCAAATACTTTATAAGAATAGGAAACTTTGGGGACCTTTTCTCCAATTATCTTTGCAACAATAGAATATGTTTGATTAAATTGGCGTATATTGTTAAACTTTTACAGAACAATTCTATAAAACAAAAAGTGATTTTAAGAAAATTTCAATCAATGACTATCTAATATTAAATCCTGATATCTTAGATACCACCACTGAAATCGAAATTTTGTAAATATGACCATAATAATAATTTATACTCTAAAATTTCAAGCCAGCTTATTCAATAGTTAAGTAAATAACAAAACATCATCCGAACAACCCAAATGCAAATCTTTGTTAATAAGACCTTATAGAAATCCGAAAAAGAATAAACCAGCTTTGGTTGATCGAATAGGGGAACCAAATATTATAGATTGAATACATTAGACTAATTATTGTTCATTGTGAATCCGTTCTATGTGGTGTAGCATAAACTACATTACTTAGACACAAGCAATGAGGATTTGAAGACTTGTTGTTCATTGATTATTTGTTTTAAAGTTGGTCATTGTTAAGGCGATGGTTGGGTAATATTAGTTATATTTTTTAACCTAATTTCCATTGAGAAATAATAATAAATAATTTAAAAGTTGACTTTTGTGATTACGCGTCACAATTTAACACTGAATGTAATGATGATATAACAAGTATTCCTTACACTGAAACAGTTATGAACATCGAATTTAAACAGGGATCGAAAATATGTTATTTATTGTAAAGTTTAAAGTAAATTTATACAGGTAATGTAAAACAACGTTAGCAAAAATGTCCAATTTTATAATTACCCCAAGCAACTTAGTAACCCAGAGTGTATGATTAAAATATTTTGAATATGAAATTACAATTGTTTTAATTGTTTTTATGTCATAGTTTTAATGGTTATATATAATTTGAAAAAAGGATTTACGAGATTTTAAAACCTGAGTGTATTAGTAAACAAATTTTTAACTTTTTACCAAAAGTTGTTAATATTATTTAATTTAGTACATTTTCTTGTGTATTATTGATATAACATTACAGGGAACAGCTACTTAAAGCTCTTTCATTTCTTTAAAATATAAAGGTACTTGAAACATAGGTCTATACTTTACATTGATATCATACTGTTTCGTCATGAAATAACACTATTGTATTCATTTAAGTTTGAAGTTTATTTAAAACTTGTTAAATGGTGCAACAAGTTTTAGGATATTTTGTGGTTGTTAGAACATCATTAAACAAAATATTACTGGCTATTTCAAATCAGTGAACAAAATTCGTCATAAAAAAAATTAAAATATTATATATAATTCCTTTGCTTATTCTTTTTTATCATTATAAAATGGAAATACAGTTAAATAGTGATGGATAAAAATACTTCAGCCAATGTAAAAATATTGTACTGAAAAAAAAACAGAATTTTTTAGACATGCTTAAGTTATCTGTGACAATTAAGTCAGTGTTAAATAAATGTAAAAGGTAAGTTAAATGTTGTTACGTTGTTAAAACTAAACTAATAAAATGTATATTAAATAACCATATAAATTAAATGTTGTAGTGTCATAGTACAGTATGTAAATAATAAATGGTTAAAGAGTCCTGCGACTGTGAATGTTAAGTGAATCTCGTGTATAATAGTTTTAGTTACGATTAAGATCGGTCATAAATATAACTACTGCTCATAACTAATTAAAAATTGTAGAAAACTCTTATCTGTTATTAATCAACTAAACATTTACAGTGGAAAATGTGATTTCTTATAAAATGCTAAAAGACAACTTTATTCATAAAAATCGCTCTTTCTCTGGAGTCAATGTCAATAAACTGTTGAATTAATCTAGCTCTGTCAGAAAATGTTGTTTAAAAAAAACAACCTTAAAACTTACAAAATTGCCAGAATAATTTTGAAAGAAAATCTGGCATAATTCGATTGTAATTGGACTTTGTATATTATTATCAGTTAAATAGTATCAGTAAAAAATATCTATTCAAAGAATACAACATGTTTATCAAGACGATAATATTTCACAGATATGTAAACATTCTAAACACATTAACATAAAATAGTATAGTTTACAACAAGCAAAGTGCATCACCGATGGCGATCTAGTAGAATCGAACCAATATTGTGAATCAAAGGACATATTTGAAGTAAAACCAATTTTACATTAGTATTGATTTATACAAATTCTGAAAAGAGTATTTTTACCTCTAAAACTTAATCCTCTTTAAGAACCTTTTATTATCTGGGTTTGCATACAAATCCCTATATCCTATATGCCTGTTTTGGAGTAAGAACACTTGTAAATCTAATTCTGTGAATTTAAACAACGCATTTCCAAATTGGCGTTTTAAAACTTGTATACGTTATGTCTGTAAACCCCGATAAAATGTTAAATCTTTGCAACGAGCTTAATTTATATTTAACCAAATTATGAATATGATAACTGGGTTACATACCTTATAAATCCGACAAACAGCTAATTTTTTATTGAAGGTCATCAACATGTTTCGGCTTGTATCGGCCATTGTCAAAACGTCGCAGTTGGATGGTGAAATCCTTGTCATTGTTTGATTGTCAGTCTGCATCCTGACCTTGACAACGGTGTGCGGCCCGCGTATTTTACGTAATAGGTATTGTAAGAAAGGGGATTAACCCCGTACCCACGGTGCTCATCTATGCAGACACTCTGTTCACATTACACTTAGTCGACCAGTTGGTGTGAACAGAGTTGAACAGTAGCATGAGCATCGATTTACAAATTCCTTTCCCAGCTGATGTGAGCTAGGCGATGACCGGTAGGGCTGACTTCCAAGAAACACCGTTAACCTATTAGCCACACACCCTATCGGTAATCAGCCAATGAGAAGGGCTAATGAAGAAGATGGAGGGGTGACGAGTCTTGGAGCTGGAGGATCTGAAGGAAAACATCGAGGGGAGATCACCACGGGCCATCGGAGAAAGAAGATCGGGAGTTTGGGAGTGCGTGTATCGGTGTGTGTGCTTCTGGGACAATATACAGTATGTAGAAAGAATAAAATATCTAACTAACACTTTGTCAAACATAAAAGTCATATAATTTGT